GCTATTGTGAGTCGTGCGAAGTCTGTCGGCGTTGCAAGTCACGCAACCATCGTCCGTTCGGCGAGCTACACCCATTACCAGTGCCCCTTGGGCGACGGGAAGCAATTGCTATGGATATCACCGGCCCCTTTCCGAAGCATAAGACCGGCGTTGATGGGATCCTCACGGTCGTTGACCGCCTCACCAAGTACGCCATGTTTTTGCCTTGCCGCTATCACGCAAAGGCAYYGGRGTTAGCCGAGGTCTTATACACCGGTTGGATTCGCTCCAAGGGCTACCCCAAGGAGATCGTTTGCGACCGGGACACTCGCTTTCTCTCCGACTTTTGGGTCGCCCTCGTCAAGCGATGGGGCTCATCTTTGAAGCCGAGTTCGGCTCGCCACCCGCAAACCGATGGTCAAACGGAAAGGGCGCATCARACCGCTCAAGTCCTTTTACGCACTCTCATTCGTCCCGACCAGGTTGATTGGGTTGAGCGCTTGCCAGACGTTGAGTTGGCTTACAACTCATCGATCCATCCGGCTATCGGGATGTCGCCATTCGAGTTTGAGCATGGTTCACCCATCTCATCGCCGCTGGACGCCACTTTGCCGCGCACAGCCGAAAGCGACGACCATCTTGCATTCCTTCGTCGCATGCAAGAGCTTCTTGTTAAGGCACGTGATCAGATGTCGAAGACGCAAATACGGATGAGCCGTCAAGCCAACCGCAATCACCTTCCTTGCCCATTCCGCGCCGGCGATCTGGTTTGGGTCTCCGCCGCGGAGTTCAGCCTCGAGCAAGACATCTTTCGCAAGCTCCTTCCCAAGTGGATGGGGCCTTGGCGCATTCTCTCTGCAGTTGGTGATGATCCCGAGGGCCCTTCATTCCGCATCGCGGTGCCACCTCACTTGCCTGTCCACACGGTGTTCCACTGTTCCAAACTCGCTCCGTTTGTTTCAGCGGAGTCCGACGAGTTTCCCGGTCGACGTACGCAAGACCCTCCTTCCATGGACGGATTTCAGGAGGCCGGCTACATCATCACCGACCGGCGCCATGGCAACAAAGAAACAGAGTTTCTACTTCACTTTTTCTACTGCAGCCACAAGGCTGACCGTTGGCTGATGCGTTCGGAACTGCAGGCCACAGTCCCCGCCGTTCTCTCATGCTATCTTAGCAAAGGGAAGACTACGCCAAGCTCTTCAGCTCCGCGCCATCCTCTCTACATTCCGCCATCAGATCGGCAGCTTCGCCCGCGCCCCGGCTCGTCTTCATAAGGAGGGGGGCGTGTTACATGCTGAGAGCCTACACACGGGCCCCTCACGGGACCCGAGGTTGGAATAGGGCCCCCAGGTCGCGTCACCGCAACCTGAAGGCCCTATGGCATTTTTACTTGGGCCTGCATCAGAAAAACGCCAGCTTTAGAGTATTTTTATATTCTTTTATTTATTTAATTRCTGTTGTTCTTCTAACGTGTGTGCTGTTGTCCGTTTTGTGGCCAGGTACACGTTCTAGGGCCAGGACCTGATTCAGGCCCAGAGGCTGAGCCTCCAAAAACGTTTGGACCGTTTTTTTGTTTTCGGACAGATTTTGGACCATTCGGACCTGGACCGACGTTCAGGCCCGATGCATTCGCATAGGCCCTGAATCAGACCAGGTACCGAACAGGCCAGCCCTGGGCAGGGCCTGGATGTCTGGTAGGGACCCAGGCAGGCCGTTTTAGGCCAAGGGCTGAACCAGTTTCGAAACCTGCAATCTGGACCGTGGATCGGATTTCGATCTGCACGGTCCAGAACGCAGGCCGTGGGGTTTCAGTCCTGGCCCAGCGCTACTTAAGCTGGGCCGTTGCCCAGTTCGGGCAGAAGGTACCAGGAGAAATCCAGCGTTATGCTGGTTCAGGAACTTGGCTGCTGCGCTATTTTGGAGACTCCCTGCTGCGCTATTTCGAGACTGCAGCTGCGCTGCGCTGCTCATCGGCCATGAGGCACAGCGCTGGAGGAGTCCAGCGCCGAGGAGGGTAGTGGAGTTAGAGAGAGAGAGAGAGAGAGAGAGAGAGAGAGAGAGAGAGAGAGAGAGAGAGAGAG